GCGGGGCCTCCCCGTGTAGTTGCAGGAAATGAGTTTGCTGTATCTGTGACAGCCATCGTGTTCACACAGCCTTAGAGCAGCAGAGCTCGGCGTGGGGTTTTGCCACCGCAAGCCCACAGTTACGCTTGCCTGCAGCCGTCCTGCGCCGGCTCCAGCCTGGCTCACCTCTCCCTGCCAGATCCCCGAGGGCACCAGGCTCCCTGCTGCTTCGTCCAGGAGCAGCGCTGGGGAGCAAGCCTCTGCGTCGCACCCGCCGAAACGGCGGGGCGCTGGAGAGAGCGTGACTCTGAAATCCTTTTCTGAGGTGGAGAATGCCTTTAGGATCATTTTGTCTAAATATGGCAATCCAAGGGGTTTTGAGCCACAAAGTATAAAAAACACTTTTCCCTCTGGTTTGGATTGCTGCAGTGAGTAACACTGATCTCTTAGTTTAAAAAAAAAAGGGGGGGGGGAGTGAGAGTGGGGAAAGTAATGGTAAATACTCATCACCTGGTAACCCAAAAGAATTTAATTTTCTTCATCCATATCTGCGTACCAATTTAGTCTTAATTCAAGGCACGAGCAGGCTGCACTGGGAGGTTGAGTTACTGTATAGTACATTCTTTTTAGTAATTTAAAAGAATGCCAAAGCAAACACAGTTTAAAAAAAAGAACCCTAAAAAGTAAATGGTGTAGTTTGTTGCCCTCCGTATGGTTAGCTGTCTCAAAGGTCATAAAATGGGGGTCCTTTGGTGGGACAGCTGGGTTTATGTAGCATATGTAGATTGTTATTTTGGCTTTAAGCCAGATCTACCTAATTTTTCCATTTTGCTTCTATGATGAGGAGGGGTGGTTAAGGTGACTTCAAGGGGCAGTTTTGTGATTTCATTCATATTTGTATTAAAGAGCCTTTTAAGAGTATTTAAGATTAGAAACCAGTCCACATAAAATTCAAGTGCAAAAAGAAGCGAAGTTCACTTGTTTTATCAAAAGGCTGAGCCTGCAGCCAGGCACAGCCCCAACTCGCACCATCTGACAGCCAGCACCTCGCAGCTATTTATGCACCACAGTTACTGATGATTATACTGCGAGGCGAACCAACAGAAGCCAGAAAATCTACGTTGCTTCTGTAGCCTTCCAGAGCGTGGATGTTTCTATCTGTACGTACGTGTACATCTATAGACAGAGGTGTGCGCATAGAGCAAGGAAGAATTGCACGCATCCAGGAATCCTCTATGCCATGAAGTACTGCAAATTCAGAGGAGGAGTATATTTTGGTACCGGCGGGCTGCTCCCAGCCTGGCACACCACCATCGTATTCCCCTTTGGCTGGTCCTGCCCCACACTGACTGCCCCCCCAAGAAAACAGTCTAGCGCTTTTCACCTTGTCATCGTTGGCAGCGCTCCTGGGCTGAACACAAGTGCCTCTCTCTGCTGGGAGGAGCAGCCACCAAAGGGAGCTGGAGCTCTAAGAAGTGGCTTTTCCCGCTTAGAGTCCTGGAGGGGTCGTATAAGTAAAGAGCTTTTTCCAGCGAGGTAAATGGAGTTTTCTGTAACAGAAATAACCTATGTAAAATAAAAATGAAGTTGGCAAGCAGTATAAAGGCTTAAGCTTAATAAATGCAATATTTAGTAGTGTATATTTGCTGCTGAGTTTGTAAAGAAAACCAGACTGCAAAGCTGGCGGGAGCTACCAACTAAGCAGCAGAAAGAGGAATGTCTTGAAGTGCTCAGTAATGGTAAGGCAGCGGTTGCCTTCTCACCCAAGGACAGACTGAGTACAGTGTCCTTCCTGGAGTGTATGCATCTAATACCCGTCAATGGCAACTTGAACAACTGACTGAGAATTTAAAAAGATGAGACATCTGTTAGTCCGTTCCGGTCTGTGGGTAAAGGTGGTGTAGAAGAGAATGAGCTCTTGGGGAACCCAAATATTTTCAGCAAAAATATTTGACCCCATTCACTAGCTACAAGTAGTGCTTTCTATGCTAATGTCTATTTTAAATGCAAGCATTTCATGATCCTTCCTCTACACTTTTTTTCTTAGCTAGACAGCATGTTAAAGATCGCTTCTTTATTTTTAATTCAGTTTTTGTATATTTTAATCATTTTACTCCTATCTAAGTAAAACTACACGAATTGGTAAACTGTGAACAGTCAGTAAGTATAGAGCATATATCACCATACATCACTGTAATTAAAGAACAAAGAACTCTGTGTACTAAGTTGTTTAATTGCTTAGGTATATGAGTAGAGAGAGAGATTTCAGTGTAAAGAACCACAAAGTTTGGTGTAAAAGCTCCATTTAATTACAGAGCAGCATGTTTTAATTGTTACCAACTAATGAAAACCATTCTTCCTTTAGAGAAGGAATTAAAAGTACGAATGCAAAATAGAATTAATGCTTTAAATAATTTTTTTGAGATTTAGAACAGCATTATGTTTGGCAAGCTAATCAACCTATTCTCTCTTTGTATCATATTCTTCCTACGTTTCAAACTACTCTGCTGTAATTGGTAAGCAAAACTGAGAGGGAGAATGCCTTTCAGATACAACTTTTTTCTTCTGCACCAGATGTGTGTGATGCAATGAAGACAAATTAATATGAGAATGTTCAGCCCAGCAGCACTTGCTGTCTCGTGTAGTACTATTAAAATGAATGGCTTTCGAATGTTTTTCTTTAATTCCTTTACTCTGAAGTAGGAAAATGTGTCCCCATTGTCTGAAAATTAGAATGTGGTTATAGGTGTGGGTACCCTAAGCTATAGGAACATTAATCATTTACAATGTAAAGAAAGCAGCTTGTGTTCACATAGCTGTGCTCTACCCTTCTGTTGTCCTTTTCAAGATTTAAAATCTTGTATTATACATATTTTTTGTGTAAAGATCATTGCTGTTGTGTTTGCTAGCTGGACTTACTTATCTTTTATTATCTCTTGAAATAAATGAGTTTGCCTTTGATTAAAATTCCTCTCTTCCCTAAAAAGTTATTCTTGATTATTTCTCTTGGATGAACATATTGCTTGTGGAATCCCAAGAACAACTCACTTTTCCTACTAGGAACCATCGATCCGTCCCTTAGCCTTACGTGTAAGCGATTGTGAAAATGTGTTTCTCTGTAGAGCTGCTAAGCGTGTGTTTAGCTTTGCTGGCAGGTGCTTCAGAAGACCTCAGTTTGGACTGCTTACATGAGCAAAACTCTGCCCATGATAAAATCCCATTTTGATTCAGGGACTCCCTCTGGAAGCGAGGGTGGTCACTGCCGCTGGGATTCGGTTGGAAACATGAAATGTTCTTTCTTGTCTGCTTCCTCCTTGTAAGTTTTTTCTTTGCCATGCCTCATGGCCCGACCCTTTTGAATTCCTCCAACTTGCAGAACTGCTGTTACAATAAGAATTAGGTTTCCATGTCAAAATCCAGCTCTTCTTTACTGCAACAGTTTATCTATGTAGTCATGTAGAACATGGGTGTTTCTGTTTGGCATTTGAGGCAGCACAAATAGAGGATATAAATATTAAGGAAAGAATGAGCAGCAGAAGCCAAGACATTATCCTGGAACAAAAAAAAAAAAAAAACAAACCAACAGCTCTTGTGCAGACCTTGCTAAGCCGTTCTCATGCAGACCTTGCTCTTGTAGCAAGGAAGGGAAGTAAGGACTGACAAGGCTAAAATTAATCTATTGGGTTTAGAGTCATGGAAAACAGCCTTAAGATGTCCCCTAGTCAAGTGGCCTCCCTCAGGAGAGAATCAATTAATCTGCTCTTAAAGTCCTGCAGAGAGAGAGCTTTTGTAACTTCTGTGCTCTACTGCACTGCCTAACTATCCTTGCCATGAAAAAGGTTTTTTACTAATGTCTAACTGGCATCTCCTTGCTTCCATGCAAGCCCATTCGTCTTGCCGTGTCTGGACCCAGGTGTATTCTGAGGCTATTACTGTCATTTCCGTGGGCATCACGTTCTCTCAGAGTAACACATCAGACTTACTGGATTGGAGCACTGAGGTTTCAGAAAACCTAATTATCGAAGCTAGTACCTCATCAGTGTAACATTCATCTCCACTTCTCCTAAAGAAAGTTGCAGTTGTTAGGGGGGATACAGTGATGCTACAGGTCAGTACTTCCAGCTTTTTCTGTTCTCTTCTTCACAGTTGACTTTCAGTTACATTTCTGTCTTGGAGAAGAAGAAAATACTTAGGATGCTCTGGCAGCCTGTTGCCATCTGGTAGAAAACAGCAAAATGATTGCCTTGAGAGTTTGCTTTACACCTTGTTCAAATACGTTAATGGTAGAATAATCTATTGAGAGAGGAGGCAAAGAGGCAACTCAATATTTTGTTAGTAACTCTCATTCTTTATCATCAACAATAAAGGTGTTTTATTTCAGTTTACCAAAGCAAAAGTTGTCAGGTGAAGAGAAACATACTGAAATCTTCCAGTCCCAGGGCACGACAGGAGGATGAGTCTAGTTTAACTAACAGGTAGAACAGGATGAGAAGGTCAACAGGCACATTTCGTCTTGAGGTATCATGTGGTGATGCCAACGATGCTTCGGTGCTAGCCTGAGATGGATTCAGACTGATACATATCTGTTTAGATTTGAACAATAATAAAGCACAACTGAGACATGATGTAGTGTGTCACATAGGAAATAACTGATTAGCTCATCTCTGTGCTGGATATATACTTCACATGCATCAGGCAAAATTTCCAAAGCTAGGCAAGATTATGGGTTTCTCTACATGTAGTTTATGCTCATAATTGGTATGACCTAATTTGCATTTGCAGGTAACCATTGCCAGAATGCCATGTATGAACTAGCCCTATTTAAACATGCAAGTCTAACTTCAAACATCTATATTTTTTCATCTCTCACTAAAAGTAAATCCATTATTAAGGAGACAGATTGAGCTCATTTGTATCAGTAATGCAGTAGGGTCGTGCCTTAATCTTTTAAAAAAAAAAAAAAAGTTTAGGTCTGGTCTCATTAATCAGCACCCACTATGTTGCTTGGGTTTTTTTTACAGAACATAGGAAACTTGGCAATCTGACTGTGACAGTGAAAAAGACCGTCCCCTCTCCAGAAGCAATACAGATCCTCTACCAACGCATGAGATATGAATACGAGTTTTATTACTATGTCAAAGAACAATTCCACCTGCTAAAGCGCAAGTTTGGACTGAAGTCTCATATCAGGAAACCACGTCCCAGACCCGAGTTCTTCATTCCTTCTCCCCTGGAAACAGAGGAACCGATGGACGATGAGGAAGATGATGAAAAGTGGCTAGAGGATATCTATAAAAGGTGATGGATGGAAGAACTATCCTTTCTTTTCTGGTGATCCCTCCAGCTTTCTTAAGATTTTTTTTTAATTATTATTAAAAGTAATTCCTTAAGGAACTGAGTTAATGCGCAGCAGCATTTCAAACGGAACAAAAGAGACCATTCCCACATGCTGGGGCCATCGGGAGATACCTGGTTTTGCGGGTTTGATTCATTGTATGGTGTTGGCTCTATAGCATCCTTGCTATAGCACAGTTCAAGAGAGAACTATCTACTGTCTATCACAAAATAACTTTTGGAGTACACAATAGTCCTCTGGGCACCTGCAAAACATAAGAGAATAGATCAGGTGGTCTTGCAAAGTAAATTTTACAGACTCTTGTCTCTCTCTTTCTCCAGAAACAAGTCTTCATTGCATAACACTACGGCATTACTCCCGGCAATGCGGACTACAGGCAGTGAGCCATTTGGGAAGAATGCCTCTTTCTGCCCAGAGCACGCTGGTATCCCAGTGGTACGGCCAGAGCCATTGCCCTGTCTGCGCACATCGAGGATAACAGGCTCAGCAAGGGGCTAGATAATGCCTTCTGAATTCCCCTGTGCGGGAGGAGCGAGGCTGCTATTCTGGCAAATTAACATTAGTGGACATCAGACAAGTTACAGGAACTAGATGTTTTTGGTAAACCCTTCTAGTTCATAGAGTGGAAAAAGTTGCCTGGTCAGTGAATGGCAATAAGAGATGAAAAGTGCAAGGCAGGGTTACCTGAATGGTAGAGTTTTGTTTCTGCAGCTGAGTACTTTTCTATTAGACTCTGAAGGAAAAGGTGCAGCATACGGTTTTTAAGTTCAGGAAGGGTACTTGTAGATTTTTATTCTTCTTATGGGTCACAAATCCAAAGAGATACAGAAGTCGTCACTCATTAAAAAAGGTAGATGATCTGGAACTCCTATTAAGCATGCCCAGTATTTCTGCGATCGCAGAATTTAGTTGTTCACTTCTGAAGCTGAACGCAGCTGCCCCACCAGAGCAAAGACCAGATGCCTGCTTTTAGCATGGCTAGAAGTAGAATTAACAATATGGACATACACAGCTTCTCCAGTTGAAATATTTCAGGGTGATAAAACAAAGAAAAGAAGAAGGCATACTCTGTGAAACCAAAGCCGATTCAATGATAGGTTGTTAAGAGAGTCACTGTGAAAGTTTGCCCTTGTTAATCACTACAGGAATTATCAGCAAACACTAGAAAGGGGAGCAGTGGGGGCTGGGAGGAGAAAGGGGAATGGCTCCAATATGTGACGTGCTGTTGTCTTTAAGGTGGGTGTCCCCGGGGTTCCCTGTGACACGAGGGCTTGCTGGCTATTCGACAGCCTGCCAGGACTGGTGCTGCAGAAGTGACGGACCTGCACGCAGCCATGGGTGGAGCTATTTGCCCATCTGCTCCATAGCAGAATGGGGGGATTTGGGGGTCTTGGTGAGGCCCTGGCCTCTTGCGCACCGTTGTTGCCAGAGGAAGCTGGACTAGTAGAGGATAATAGCAATAAATTCCAGTCCTAGAGCCCAGGAAAGAAGCAGGGCCGAGGAGTTGCAGCTCCTTGCCAGGATAAGTCCTAGTAACACTTCGGGGACAATGCACCTCTATCTAACTCACGTCCTTTCTCAAACAGCTGCCCGGCAATTTTTGCTTCCTATTCTGTGGCTGCCTCAGCAGCGTGTCTGCCGTCTGCGAGGTCACACTTCGGTCTGTAATAACAAGCAAAAGTTATTTTGTGATGGACGAGGCATATAAACTCGGGCTCAGCTCGAATGTGCTTTCCAAGGGTTTCCTCTTCCACGAGCCTGCTGAGAGCCAATAAACATTATGGCCCATCTTCATCACCAGTCAGTCTTTACTGTACCTACACGCAGAGAACGAAAATAAAGAAGTGTAATCGTGTTAAGACAAGATGCTAACTTACAGAAAATATTATGTAGAAGATTCTGTTCTCATTATTAACATCCCAGGTTGGTGGTAGCCATGAACTACCGTGGGGGAGCACATTAAAGAAAGCCGAAAATGGCACCGATAACAACTAACATATTAGCTAAAATACGAATCTGCTGCATTGTATATTTTAAGTGGTTTCTATGAAATTACATTGAAAGAGTAATGATTAGTTTACACACTGTGGAGTTGTTATATTTTGGAAAGAAAACTAATATTCTCACCTTTCTGAAATTCTGTTTTAATCCTTTTTGCCAACGTCGTAACAGAATAATCAGTCACTTAACACATTCACCTTTCCTGCAAGTTCACTGCCGCTTACCGTAAAGTCTATTTTTATCTGTTTATTTAATGGTATCTTCAGCCATCACTACTTATAACCGAATAGCAAAACCTGTTTAATGATTTACTCGCTAGGTTTTAATGTTGCTGTATTTTTTGTAACAATCAACCTGGCCTCTCCTCCTTGAATGGTACTTCATAAATTTATCTGGCACATAGCATCTAAGATTCCTGGTCCTACGGCCTATTTGTCTGTCATGAAATATATTTTACGTAATTGTTAAAAGGTACGTTTTAAGCTGGTTAATCTTTGACTTATTTATTGAAACTTTTCAGCACATTCCAAATTCTAAGTTGCTCAGGAAGAAGTTGATTTAAATGATTATATTTTGGTCTGATGAATATTTCTTATTAAAAAAAAAAAAAATCATTGTTTGTAAGCCTTTAGCCCACGACAGCTTTGTAGGAAGTGCCATGCATGTAACGTGTAAATCTTTATGGGGGAAAAAGGTGGGTGCTTGACATTTATGAAAATAAGAAAACATATGTGTACATTAGCTTAGCTATAAATGAAAGCAACGTATGTTTTGGGACGAAATATTCTTTAACTTATTCACTACCATCTCCTGAAATATAAATACGCCATATGACTCTATTTTTTGGTCCAGTGATGTTTAAAAATAAAACTTGTACATGTCTTCCTAGCACCATAGTCCACTTGCTTACGCTGGTTTTCTTGCCTGGGTACAGCGGCTGTGGGTAAGATGTTGGAGTTGCACCTAGCAGAACAGGATCGGATATGGCATACTTTATCATTTAGAAGTCATACTTTAGCAGCGAGATTGGGTTATTCTATGTCCCGAACTGTCTGGAGGTGTGAGAGTGAAGGCGGAATTATTTTACTCACCTGCGATGAGCAGTAAGTGCCCTAAGTACCTTGTCCCATGTGCTTTGTGGCTGCTAAGTAGAAGGAGGTTTCATCCAGGAGAGAAACAGCTTGGTCTCCATACACTGCGTTTTACTAGATGTGGTATTTGATGGCCAGGTGTAAAAGCTCCAATAGCCCAGAGTGATGTTATAATGTAAGTAAAACATCAGTGCTTTCACACTGAAGGGAGAATCAACCGTTGTTAAAATGCAGCATTCTGGAAAAAATAAATTTTAGTCTTACGTTTCAAGTGACAGTGACAAATGGTACAGTTTTTTGTTCCTGTTTAATTTACTTCTCTTCCACGTAAATTGCGCTGATGATGCAAGGCGAAGTCCAAGTATCTGAACCATTCTCTACTTATATGTAGAGAAGCAGCTCAGCAGAACTGAAGGTATGTGAAGCCGATGGTGTATTTGAAGCATTTCAATTTCTTTGCGAGTCTTTATCATTGGACCTTTGCCGAATTGTTTGAATGTTATAATATGGAATGGTATGTAGTATCATAAAGACACAAACAAAATTACAAATTGTAAACATTGGAGAACCGATCTGTGGATGCCAGCCATTCAGTTCTTCCTCCTTTCAATACTTGATGTAATAAAAATATTTAATATAAAGGTAGATTTTTTGACTAACAAAGGAAACCACACTGCATGCCAACTTGGGTCCTCTTATCAAATGAAGAAACATCATCTGCCAAAGAGTAAAACTCTATATCCTCTTAAAAGATAAAGGTCTGTAATTCCCGGTTAAGGGTAATGGTGCTCTGATCTCTCCCTCCATTTTAAGAAAGGGAACATCTGTGACGTTAGACCATAGCCTAAAACAACACAGCAACATTTTTGAGAGCTAGAATACTGTAATACAATACCACAGCATTCTTTCTGTTTTATTTTTAAGGAATCAGCCTTTATTGCAAAGAGTTCAGCAAACATATAAAACACTGTCGATCCATCTGCTTGCATGAGCCAAGACCAGAGAAAAGAACTGAGCGTTGTTACATATAGACCTCCACACACAGACTCCATGGGAAAAACAAGAAAGGTCTTACCGAGCCTCGGAAGTGCCTGCCTAGCGGTGTTGGAGTCACCGGGACCACTCTTGCAGGGTCCGTCCCAAGGGAGGTTTGCGAAGTCGGTCTCTGCTTAGGTGCCCCCAGGCATGGTGGGAAGGGTGCTGGAACGCAGCTCCGTGAGAAACAGCCATTGCGGGGGGAGGGTGGGGTGTGAAAAAATCTCCTACAAAACGTTAGAAGTGGATAGAAGGGATCTTATTTTGAAGGTTGAAAGTTCAGTCTCAACCAGCATAAATCAGTTGCTGATGTCTCACAACTGAAAAACTGTCATACATTTTCTTCGGTTTGCCCAGAAACGGCATTGCATGCCAAGCCGCAGCACAAAGTGAACTTCAAAGCTCAGTTGTAAGGTTTGGAAAATAGGCATGTGTAATGGAAGCACCAGCACACCGTAACGGTTGTGTCCCAGCACCGGTGGCTGATGCCGTCATATTGGAAGGTCCTGGAGGTGGGATGGAAGGTTGTTCTGGGGGCAGCAGGGGATGGGGTAGGGGGAAGGTTTTCTGCAAATACGTATTTGGCCTTTCAGATGGCGTAAGATGGTAAGATTTGACCAGTGGTGTATTTGAATGTGGATTTTGAATATAAACCTGTGGATTTCCTTTTCTGAGTATGTAAAGGAAGAACGCAAGTCTGGTTTTGTATTTAACTGGTTGTGGCTGAAAGGGTAAGTTAATAACACTGCTATCAGGCAGGCGTGGTAGGAGTGTGCTTTATGCAAACTTTTGCTATCCTTCTGTTCCCTTTTTTGGATC